CGTACAGGAATTACTGTAGAACATGTAAAAAATTAAAGACAATAAAACCATCGCAGGCCTGTGTAATTAGACACACACACACACACAGTCTACCTTTTCTGGGTTTTCCAGCAGTTCCATTAAAACCGCCACAAAGGCGTCTACTGTCATAGCCCTAGTTTCGTATTCGTTGCAGTAGTAAGCCAACGAAATTCTTTCATTTTCCGTCAATATCTGTTGAGCTTTGAGGTCCAAGATTTTCTCGGCTTCTTCTGTGGGTGACGTAACTCTTGCCTGAAGAACAAATACTAAAAAAGTATCACGTGCTCAAACAATACATAAAAATCAGAATTCCTCAACAGCCGCCAAAGAGCAACAGCTTTCTTTGATGTGTATGTTTTTTTTAAGGTTTATTCGAGGTCTTTGAAATACAGTTCTGCTGTACACGTGACATGTTTTGCGTAAGTGCGACATATTAGTATATTTTTCAGCTTTGATCAAGAAAGAAACGTTCCTGCTTTTCTTTCGAACTTCATTATCTCAAATCTTTGTGTACCACACGTTCTGTTCCAATTTGAAAGTGATTTAGTTTTTCATATAATACGCTTATCCAAGCTAAGCCTTCTTAACAACTTGCATCTTTTCTTTTACTGACTATCTTGAATATTAAGAATAAAAAACGTTTCTTATAAAAGACTTAACTAGATTTGGAGTTAATAAGTAAAAATAATTAGAACTGTAACTTTGAAATTAACTTTTGTAGATGTGGTATTAAGAAACGTATAAATGTTCACTCTTAATTTCTACGTATAGAATGTAAACAAAATGTTTGAATCCTGCACGTGAATATAATATCGAGTAAAATGCGAAAAGTTCTACGTGGATATCTGTGAGATTCCAACGAGTTATCGCTGACATAATTAATATCTGATATAATGCCCCACCACCCCCCGTGGCTTAGTGGTAATTCTGAGGGCTTATAACGCTACTATTAATAATCAGGTTGCGATATCCAGGTAGGGCACACATCAGATAGCCCATTGTGTAGCTTTGTGTTCAAGAACAAACAATAAAACTTAGAACAACGATTGCGTTTTTTTTTATCAAAACATTTTCTTCGTCTTCTATCCCAGAATATTGTTAGAAAGAAATAATTCTGTCAAATTGATTATATTATGTTTATGATTAGACTTTAGAGTCTTAAGTCACGCTCTACTCAAGGAATATCTGGGGGGCATAGTTTTTATATAATGGATTTAGAAATCAGTGCAAAGCTGAAATAAAAGGGGGGACTTTAAAAACAAACAGTATCAAAACATTAACGAGACACTATCCTACATAACTGATATATGTTATTTTCGATGTCTTATTTAATAAATGTCTACGATAGAAAGTGATTTTCTTTCTCTTACCTCAATACCTCTGGGTTGTTCCCTTTTCCTGGAGCTCCCCCTTCTGGATAATCTAATTTTATATACGGAAAATAAAGCACTTTTGAGACTCGAGTTTGGATAGCAGAATCTTTAGTATTATTGAAAGCTGTTAACAAAATAGAAGTATCACAAATGAAAAAAAAAGTATTTATAAACAATACAAATGCTTTATTAGTATCGCTGCATAGACTTTCTTTCATCATACATTAAACTTATGAAAGATAAAAAATGTAATAACACTGAAGGAAACTACCTTTTACCACAGCTCTGTAAAATGTGTGCTTATATTGTAGTTACAATGTGTTGATGCGTTTAATATGATGAGGCGTTGAGCGTATAGTAAGGCAATGCGTTTAAATGTTTAGTAAGACAATATGTTGAATCGTTTAGTACATCAATTTGAAAAGACGATAGCTTCGATATCAGAAGAGTTTTTTTTTTATTTCGCGCAAAGCTTCACGAGGGCTATATGCGCTATCCGTCCCTAATTTAGCAGTGTAAAACCAGAGGGAAGGCAGCTAGTCATCACCACAAACCGTCCACTCTTGGGCTACTCTTTTACCAAGGAATAGTGGGATTAACCGTCACATTATAACGCTCCCACGGCTGAAAGGGCGGGCTTGTTTGGTGTGACGGGGATGCGAACCTAATCCCTAATCACCTAGCCATGCCGGGCCACGATCAGAAGAGAAAGCCCCCCAGTGGCACAGAGGTATGTCTGTAGAATTACAACGCTAAAAATCGGGTTTCGATACCCGTAGTGGGCAGAGCACAGATATCCCGTTTTGTAGCTTTGTGCTTAAACTTTAAAACAAACAAGCAGAAGAGAAGTAATATCAACATCTATTTCGCGTCTTATTCATCGCTCGATTTTTAATACCAACAATTGACACAAATGTTACTTTTTTGTGTGCGAGTGAATATATTGATGAATGTGTCAAACGTAGTACTAATGTTTTACTCAAACTTTTTTTTTTTTTACTTTCTGCGTTCAAATACAGTAAAACAAATTAGGAAAAGCTTAACAGTAGCATCATGTTCCCGACTTTCTGGCAGTTTTATAGAAAAAAGATCTGAATTACCTGTGTTTACGGTAATTATCATTGCTATTATTGGTGACACATTGTAACAGCAGAGATGTGGTCTCTATGATTTCCATCCTTACATGGTATTATTCTCATATGATATATGGAGAAAAAGAAATATGTTTGTTGTATGTTACCATGGTAATTTTTTGAACGCCAGAAACTCGGCATTAGATGACTACCTATTGCAAGGAAATCACATACGAAGATAATATTGTCCTTAACAGAACGCCCCCCAGTGGCACAGCGGCATGTCTGAGGACTTACAACGCTAGAATCCGTGTTTCGATACCCGTGGTGAGCAGAGCACAGATAGCCCATTGTGTAGCTTTGTGCTTAATTACAAACAAACAAACCTTAACAGAAACAAATGCATTAAATTTCGCGTACTCTATTAATGCACCAGCGAGGTTAGAATTATCTATTTTATAATTGGATATAAGCAACTTGGAAAGATCATTGAAAGAGAACTTCTATGTTTAGGTTTGAATTACCCAAAAACAAGGTGTCATCAGAAAATTTTTTACTTAACCTCAGTAATTTGATTTGTTATTGTGGGATCTGTAATAGTTTACTAGCAGAGATCCACAAAAATTTCCGACCAAATTAGTATCTTTATCGTAACAGTACTTCTTTAAATATAACATTTCTAGCACAATACAAACGAATTGTAACCGTAGACAACGAAATGTGTAAATCCAATTGTATATAGGCCATACTTTATAAAACTTTAACTTATGTTAGGCCTAAGTTCGAGAAAGAGAGAGAAATTAACACTGTGACCTGTGTACGTTTTTTTA